CAAGAGCATCCTAATCAGAAAACCCTACTCCTGGCTGTCATGGTTCTTCACAACAACCCGCCCTGTGTGCTCCAAGGGTTCTCTTATCTTGTTTTTTCCTGTTTTACTCAGCCCAAGCTCGCTCAGCAGAGCCAGTTTCTTCCCCACTCTTCTTACTTTTACGCGTTATCAAACTTTGTCACAAGGATGTCTCTTTTCTACATCCTATTTGGGTCTCCAAGAAAGATGTCACAGGTTGGGTCTGAGGGTATCCCAGGCTGAAATGTTTTTTATCTTTTTTTTTTTTTTTTTGGTACCAGGGATCGAACTTGGGATCTTGCATTAGAGAGTCAGGCAGAGGAACCACTGAGCTAAATCCCTGGCCCCAGGCTGAAATGTTTTTATGAGCCTTTCTGTTGGATAGCATACTGCAGCAGCATTCACTGTAGTTTTAAATACATTTCATGAAGACACTCATGAAAGAGGATTTCTAGAACTGCTGCAGAAAGTGACTAGAATGATGAGATAAGTACGTTCAAAGAGAGGATTTGGGGGAGGTTTCATGGCAATGTGACTTTTCCTGTAATCAATTTAAAAATTTAAACGTTCACTATATTTTGATCATACCTCATATTAGATTTGACTGCTACCTTTTTTTTTTACTCATTTTTATGTGGTATTGGTTTAGTTGGCCTCTCTAAATCCACAGAGTCTCTCCTGTCTGTGTATAGTATGTAAGATTATCACACCTTGCTGTATGAGATCTCATTCTCTTTCCTCACTTTTATTTGGAGTTTCTCTCGTTTGTCTTTCTGTTGTGCCTGTCCTCATCAGTCTGGGTCTTGTTTCCAGCAGGTTCTGCTCAGCACATCTTCCTGGAAGAGAGCATGAGTTAGCTCTGCGAATCCATGGTGACCAGAGTATGTGCTCTGTGGTGACCAGGGTGGGCCTGTGCCTGTTCACAAGCTCTTCTCGGTCCTGCCCAAGGGTCCCCGCTGGGTGTTGTGGGGTTTTTCTGCTCTGTGGGCTGTCAAATTCCCTTTACTATCTTCTGCTGCTTGTCACGCAGATGCTGGTACCACACAGGCCATATATTCTTGTGTTTGGGGATTTTATATGTGAAGTTTTGATGTTGCTACTTACTTTAGCTTTGTGAGGGAATTTGGAGAGATTTAAAACTTAAGCTGCTATCACAGAATTCACAGAGCATTTTTCAAGTTTAAATACTGTGAATACCATGCTGGCTTCCATTGCAATTGCATTAAATTTGGACTAACAGCTAAAAGTTGACTATATACATTTCTCCTGTTACATTTCTCCTGTTCATAGCTAACAGATTGCTTTCTGTATCATCTACAGCTAAATTGCTATAAAAACTAAATTTCCTCTGTCTTTGATGGCCTCTTAAATCCATTAGCCAGAGAAAATGTGTGGTAGAAAGAAGTTTATATAAATAATAAATATCTGCATGTTTGCAAATTTGTCAGGAGCCCTGTTGACATTTTAAAAATATGTCTAAAATAGCTTTATTGAGATGTAATTCACATGCCGTACAATTCTTTCTTCATTTTTAAGTGCTGGGAATTGGGTCAGAGCCTTTTACATGCCAGCCAAGCACTGTACCATTGAGATACCTCTCTAGCCCTGGTTCTCTTGTTTAAAGTATGTGATTAAGTAGTGTTTTAGTACATTCACAGAATCCCGCAGCAATCTTGACAATGTTATGGCAGTTCTTCTCTGTATCCTGCCTCTCTTCTCTCTAGTTACACCCTCTCTGTCCCTGTACCCCCGCCCTTGACAACAGCTAATCCTGCTAACTAGATTTCCCTTGTCATTCTGGACCAGTTACCTTTCTGTTTACATGACCCTGTTTCATGTGAACAGAATCATGTAGAATAGGGCCCAGGGATTTAGCTCAGTGGTTCCACTGCCTGCCTGGCAAGCGGAAGGTTCTGAGTTGAATCCCCAGTACCAAAAAAAAAAAAAAAAAATCATGTAGAATATAGTCTTTTGTGACTAGCTTCTTTTACTTGGGATAATTGGTTCATCCATGTTTGGCCTATATCACTATTTGGTTTCTTTTTATTTTTAAATTTATTTTTTAATTAAATTTTGAATTTGTCTTATTTATTTTTCAATAATATTCTGTGGTTTGCATAATTCACATTGTATTTATCTGTTAATTAGCTGGTGGGTATTTGTTTCCTTTTTTGTCATCATGAATAATGTAGCTTTTAATGCTCATGAATCACTTTTATTTTTCCCCTCCGGTACTGGGGATCAAACTCAGGACAGGTGTGGCTCCACTGAGCTACCTCCCCAGCAATGAATCGGTTTTTATATGTTCATTTGTCTTGGATATTTACCCAGGAATGAGATTGTTGATTATGTAATGACTACATGTTAAATCTTTTTAAGTAACTGCCAGATAATTTTCCAAAGCAGAGGTCCATTTCCCATTCCCACAGGCAGCCTGTCAGGGCCCCGGTTTCTCTGTGTGCTGCCAACCCTTTTATTGACCATCTTTTTGATTACAGCCATGCTGATGGGTATGAAGTGGTGTTTTATGGTTTAGATTTTCACTTCAGATACTCAGCAACTATTTCATGTGCTTGTTAGCCGTTTGTTCTTCTCTCTCAGAGAATGTTTGTTTAGATTCTTTGCCCATGTTTGTTCGTGTTGTTTTTACTTTCTTTTTCAGACAGGAAGAGATAGGGAGAGGGTCTTGTTATGGTGCCCAAGCTGCCCTCCAACTCCTGGGTTCAAATGATCCTCCTGCTTTAGCCTCCTTTGTAGCTAGGAGTATGGTGTGCTTGGCTCTTTGTCCAAGTTTTAAAACTGGATTTTTATTCTCTGTTATTTAAATTATGAGAGTTATACATTGTGGATACATTTCTTTCACCAGATGCATAATATATTTTCTTTCATTCTGTGGATTGTATTTTCAGTCTATTACTGATAACTTCTAAAGTGCAAAAGTTTTAATTTTGAAGTCAACTTTCTCTACTTTATTTCTTTGTATTTTCATTGTCATGTTTAAGTTTCTGCCAAATCAAGGTCAATAAGATTTACTCTTTGTCTTTTCTTCTTATCTGTTTTTCTTTTTTTTTTGGTACCAAGGATCGAACTTGGGTCCTTCCGCTTGCGAGGCAGGTGGTGGAACCACTGAGCTAAATCCCTGGCCCTTGTCTTTTCTTCTTAGAGTGTTATACTTTTAGCTCTTTATTTCAGTGTATGCTTCATTTTGAGTTAATTTTTGAATATCGTGTGATGAGGGGCATGGATGCTTTTGCATGTGGCTCTTTAGTTGACTTACAAGTTCCGAGATACGGTATTATCTTTTTCTTTTTTTATTTTAAAGACAGTCTTACTATGTAGTCTAGGCTGGCCTTGAACTCACTATGTGGTCCAAGCTGGCCTTCAACTTGAGGCAGTCCTTCTGCCTCAGCCTTCTGAATGCTGGAATTACAGGTGTGTGCCACTGTGCCTGGCCATTTTTATTCAATTCTGAGATTTTTGATACATGAGTTGTCTAGATTGGTATTTTTCAACTCACTTGAGCTTGTTTTGTAGTTGCATTTTTATAATCGATTTCTCACTTGAAAGTAGTACTATGCTCATAGAGTGCAGTGTATATTACATAAATTCTGTGAAGTTAAAGATGGTAGCTTTGTGATCTAGATGTAATGTCCTTTTTCACTTCTTATGCGCCTATAAAAGATGAATACTCACCAGTTGGATGTAATAATATGTCTGTTAGATCAGGGTTGATAAATTAGATGTTTATGTCATCTATATCCTCATTAAGATTATTTTAAAATCTCTCGTGTTAATTGCTGATTGCAGTGTTTTAAAACCTCCTACCAAAGCCAAGCACGATGGTGCATGCTTGTTATCCCATCTGTAGAGAAGGCTGAGGCAGGCGGATCACCTGAGGCTAGGAGTTCATGGTTAGCCTAGACAACATAAGGAGACCTCATGTCAAAAACAGAAACAAAATAAACAGAAATACTACCAAGTTAGTGAACTACTTGTTTTCCCTTTTTAGTTCTGTTCTTTTTTTTTTTTTTGGTACCGGGGATTGAACTCGGGACCTTGCGCTTTCGAGGCAGGCGGCGGAATCACTGAGCTAAATCCCCGACCCTCTGTTCACTTTTTTATGTTTTAATTTTTAATATTGAAAGTTTTAAGCATACACCAAAGGAAAGAAGACAGCACAGTGCTTGCCGCCTGCCCACCTGTGACTGCCGTGAGTGTATACAGCCAGCTTATTTCCGCCCTTCCCTCTCCGGGTTGTTACAGGTCAGACACTGTTGTCCTGGTCCCTGTCTGCCTGTGTGGTTAGAATGAGCCTGTCGGCAGCATGTCTCTGTGTCCTCTGGGAGGAGTCTTCCACTGAGCACTTACATCTGCTTGAAAATGCTTTTATCTCGGGTACTTTCTGGAAAATTCATGCAGAATGCAGCGTGACAGTTACGTTTTTCTGACATTCTCATTGCCCATGTTTCAGTGTCTTTTGGCTCCAGCTGTTGCCATGAGAAACAAGAAGTTATCATTCTGTTTCTTGTGGGTAGTCTCATGGGCTACTTTAAAGACTATCTCATTTTCTTTGGTCTTCTGCAGTTTCACTGTGATATGACCAGTAAAAGTATGTTATAAGTCATTGGATGATAGTCATTTTGAGCATTTTGAGGGTTGTATTTTCTTTTTTTTTTTTTTTTTTGAGACAGGGTCTCACTTTGTAGTGCAGGCTGGCCTTGAACTCACTATGTGACCCAGGCTGGCCTCAAACTCACAGCAGTCCTCCTGCCTCAGCCTCCCGAGTGCTGGGGTTACAGGTGTCCCACACCATGCTCAGCTTACAGTTATTTTAAACTTTGCACTTTCTCCTCCAAACTAGCAATTAAATAAATAGCTGGGTACATAAGGGAATGCTTGCTACTTGCAAAAAGCCCCTGCTAGATCAAGATCTTAAGTGTGTCCCTTCATGTGAAGAGACAAGTATCCTTCTCTTTCCGCAGCACTGTTGGAAGTGATCATGAAAAATGGAAGCACTGCTGGAAACAGCCCACACTGCCGGAAGTCCACGAGTGGCGGGGATCAGAGCAAGGCCAGCTGCACTAAGGACAGCATACCCGGAAGTGCAGAGAGTGGGAAGGGCTACACCCGCGACCAGGTGGAGGGTGTTCTCAGGTAGGATCTGCATTAGAGTGGGTTCTGGGGGAATTCTGGATGTTACAGGGTTGGGAAAAGTGTTTGAAGTAAGACACATAAGGAGGAATTAACCCTGGATGTTTTCAATTTTATTTTATGTATTTATTTTTGCAGAACTGGGGTTTGAACCCAGGGTCCTTTGAACCAAGCTGTATCCCCAGCTCTTTTCATTTTTTTATTTTGAGACAGAGTCTGAGTTGCTAAGTTCCCCAGGCTGAAATTGAACATGGTCTCCTCAGGTGTTTACCACCAAGCCAGGGTTGTGTCTTTGTTAGGTCTTTGTTAGTATTGAGTGTGTGTGTGTGCACGCGTGTGCTCATGTGTGGACAGTGCACATGAGTGTCTGTGTGTGTTTCTCCAATGCCCAGAGGTCCCGGCGTTACGTGGGGACACGGCCAAGATAGCAGAGTGAAGGGTAGCGGTGGGGTAGGGGCACCATGTCTGTCCCCAGAGCTGGACTTCGAGGCCTCGCTCTTCATGTCTCTGAGGGGTGGGTGAGGGTTAAAGCTGGGAGGGCAGTGAAGTCCACGCTGCTTGCAGAGGGGAAGAGCACAGGAGTGGGAAGTTTGCTGAGTTAGGGTTGAGGGCCCAGCTGCATTTGGGATCATAGATTCCTTGCAGTGAGAACTCATTTAGGGAGGGGTCTGCAGAGCCCTGGGATGGGCACTGTCAGGAGCTGCAGCAGTACAGGGGCCCACCGGGGCACAGGGGTAGGGAAGGGGTGACTGCAGTAGGTAGAGGCGCACTCCTGCTGGGAGACCACACTGGAGGCCGACTCTGCTCAGTCCCTGAGGTGATTGCTGGTGACTGCTGGGTTCCCCTCCTCAGATGCTTCTCCGTCTTCCTTCCCTCCTGGGTCCTACGGGTGGAGATGTTCAGTTAGCCTCTCATGCTTTCCATATGTATACGTTTTTCTTCTTTATCTCTGGCCCCACACATAACCTCTCAAACCTCTTCTCCCTCCACCCTCCTTTCCCAGTATAAAAATAATGCCATCGAAACCTACTTTCTCATTTTTTCCTCCTTTTTTGTTTTTATTTTATGATATTTGATTTAATTTCCCCCCTTTCCCTTTTTTTCCTGGTTCCCAGACTATTTATCACTATCATTCTTTCATCTTCCTGGGTTGTTGAAAGAATTGAAAACCGAACAGGTTTTAATTAAGCGTTGATATGTGGTTGCTCCTCTGGATATTGCTGTTACTGGTGATTTTCCGTCCTCACAAGGCAGTGGTGGGGATGGAACCAGTGCCTCAAGTGGGTGGAGTAGCTGTCTGCACCTTGAGTCACATTAGAAGCCACTGCCACAGCAGAAGGAGGAACCACTTACTACCAAGCTCACTACCATAGTGCCAGTGCCTTCTGTCCACCTGACCTACAGTTTTCACAAAAGAATCGTGAGAAAGCAGGGCAACAAGAGGACTCCAGGGACTCATAACTCCCGAAAAGCTGAACACACAAGCTGTGAAATGAATGAGTTTCCAGACAAAGACCTGAGAAATCAAGAGCTAAAGTGAAGAGCTCAGAGAAAGACAGACAAGCAGGTGAGCGGAGCAGTTACTGAGGTGTGCAGTGAGGTCACAAAATAAGGTAAAAAGACACCAACCTTCTCAATTGATAAGGTGTTGGATGAGATTACAAAAGATACAAATAAGTAGCTGGATGATTTAACGAAGAAAGTACAGGATATGAGTGACCACTTCAATAAAGAATTAGAGATTGTGAAAAAGAAACAAGCAGCAATCCTGGAAATGAAAAACTCCACTGTACTCTGGAGGCTGAGGCAGGAGGATTACAGGTTCAAGCCCAGCCTGGGCAACTAAGCAACTTAGCAAGACCCTGTGTCAAAGCAATGAAAAACTCAAAAATGTTGGCTGTGGGTGTGATCAGTCATAAGGTAGGCTGTCAGGACTTGAGGATAAGGTTAATGTAGTAGATTCTTCACTCAGTGATACTCAGAAAACAGTAGGAGACAACCCGAAGATGATCTGTAAAATTCACTAATATTAAAATGCAAGCCAGACCCACTTCAGCACACTGTGACAGTCACAACAGTGATATGGAACAGTATTTTAGAGAGTGGTTTTCCAAACCAGCTGACCTCCACAGTGTGATTCTGCCTTGTCTCTCAGGAGCACACATAAAGTTGTGGAAACTGTGCTACTTCTGCTGGGTCCCTGAGGCTTAGATCCACCTTGGGGGCTCCATCACTGCCTTCCACAAGCTCTCCCTGCTGGTGGATGAGGTGGACACGCTCAGCAGAATGCTGTGGCAGCAGCACAGCGGCCCCCTGGAAGCCTGCTATGCAGAGCTGGACCAGAGCAGGATGTACTTCAGAGCCCAAGGCCCACACAGCACCTCAGGGACACCTGAGTTCCTCTCCTCTTCATTTCCATTTTCTCGTGTCGACAACCTATGCAGGCGAAGCATTTTAGGAACACCATTAAGCAGATTTTTAAGTGGGGCCAAAATATGAATATCTACTGAGACATTAGCAAATGAAGACTAAAATGTAGTGTTTTTGGAACATGTTAAAGGAAGCTGTAACTTCCCTCTGAATTGAAATTGCTAACCTAGGCATTTAAAACTTAATAATTTTATATATAAGAATAATAGTTGAAATTTGCACTAATATTTAAAACCCATTGAATCATACTACCTTCACAGGCAATTTAAGAAAAGTGTAATTTTGGTTTTTATGTCCTATTCCTGTCTTTACAGTTCTGGCTCATTTTAGGTGATGGCAAACGTTCCCCCTATTCTTATAACTGTGATCAAACTAATCAGGTTTTCTACATTTCTTCTGTCTCTGTCAATTTTTCCTACCACCTATTAAAGGTTACCCAGTGCCTGGTCAGAATAGCAATCAAAAGGAAAGAGCAGGAAGAAGAGCATTTTAGATTGCCTTGTGTGAGACCGTAGATCACTGTGGTTTGAAATCACGAGTTTGCTTTTAACTCCACAGGACTAACTTTAAAATGACATGCACTGTAACTTTAAAGCATTCGTTGTAGACAATATAATTAATCTTAGAAGTGCCTTTGACATTTAGATACTGAGTAACAGAAAAATATAATTTCACTTTTTAAAATTATACTCACCATATTGGATTTAGGATTTTCATTCCAAGCTTCATACTTATAGGCCGGGAGTCTTCAAAGCCACGTTTCTGTCACTGTGAGCATCACCAAGGACACAGTAGCTGGTGGGGTGCTGATCCAAGAGGCTCTGCAGGCTTTCAAGCAACAAGGCGCAGCCCTCAGACCACAGGGCTGCTCGGAGGCCTCTGGTTCCCATCACCATTTCCAGCCTGCTGAACTGCTGTGGGCACTTCTCCTTCAAGGTTACCAGTGAGGGCACAAGTCAGAGCCCTAGCTACAAGCCCCTCTTGTCTCAAAGTTCTCAATCCTTAGGAATGGGGAACATGGACTTACCTCAAAACACTGCCGCTTTGATAAGGAGAGAAGTGCTCCTCTCCACACCCTTTCCTGACTTTGACAGCAATATTAAGAGGAGACAAAAGCTCACACAGGTGTACTCCTGGTCTGAAATACCCTTGTTTTCAAACTGACCAGAAGCTGGCCAACTTTGCAAGGTGAAAGCTAAGCTCCCTGTGCAGTGACTCATATTTCATGCCATCCCTCTCCAAGTGCACACACATCCAATTATTTCACTGTTAAGTTTCTTAAACTGCCATCTTAAGAGCCTGAAATTTTTTGTAATGTCTCATTTCCTTTTCTAAAACACATTTTTTCAAGATAGCATATTTTGCCTTTAAATGAGCTGAGAATTATTTGCCTTTTTAAAGTTGTTTGATAATATCTCTGGATTAAACAGAAGTTCTTATACAGTGTCTTAGGAAATTCATCCTGTAGATAAACACAATGGTTTTGCCAACTCGTTGCCTAAAAAATAAGGGCTATCTTCAGTTCATAAAAATAGCTTTATTTCACTAAAGTTTTTTTTTGGTACCAGGGATCAAACTCAGGACCTTGTGCTTGCGAGGCAGGCAATGGAACCACTGAGCTAAATCCCCAGCCCTCTCACTAAAGTTTTTATAGTCCTTGATTGGAAACCAGCCTTGATTGCCTTAAAACACAGCATTTCCTGCCATTGAAAGTGTAAATCTCCTTTTATCATTAAGCTGCTTTTTTATTATCACAAATGTTTCTAAATTTAGTTTTTGGGTTCACCATTTCTCTAATATTCTTCCCTCTATTTCAGTCCCTTTTTATAACTTTTTCTGAATTTACAAGTTTAAAAAAGGTTAGGTACTGTTAATAATACTGTCTTAAAATAGAAAGTTGCATATTTTTGTATGATAAATGTAGTGAAATATAGATTTTTTTGTTGAATAGCTGTTACATAATGATCATTGTGCCACAGTTTATCGTGCATAATATGAAAAACAACTCTAACAGCCTTGTCCAGGCCACTGTGAAGCTGCTTGCTTCTCCTGCGAGCAGAGATGCGGTGATGTGAAGTGTCAGTGTGGCTGCTGCAGAAACCCAAGGAGCTCAACACCCACTTTCCCGCAGGCTCATGGACGGACGCCTGTGCTGATGAGGTCCAGGCAAAGGCCAGGCAGCATTGAACATAAAGCTGTAGTGTCTTACTGCTTACGATGGGAATCAACTGGAAAACCAAGTGTCTAACTTTATTTAAGAAAAGGATATTAATTAGTACTAACAAGAGGTCAAAACTGTTCAATAGAATTTGTATGCTATAGCAGTAACCTCAAGCAGAACTTGATTTTGAGAGAAAAGTAAAATCTTTGTGCCTAAAACTGATGACTTGAAGTAAAATGAGCAGGAGATGAGAGGTCTTGTTCAATGGAATGAATGTGAAGGAAATTTTGACTGCTAAATAAAATTTCCACAGGAAAAAAAAAAAGAAGATGATCTCTAAGTTCTCCTTGCTGACTCTGAAAGACCTAAGGATTAGGGTTAGGAAGAGGGAATCTAATGGCATAAAAATTTA